ATACACTGTGTTAATGGTTCTGCTTACTTCACTACCCCTATGCTTTAAAAATAAAATGGATTTCATTTACGCACTACAGTACCTAGCAGAAAGTGCACTAAAATTATTTTCCCCTCATAAGAACGAGCTGTAAAGGCCCATTAAGACATAATTACTGCCAAAAAGGCATCTTACATTTCCTTGAGATAAGCTGTAGTAGTGTACTTTGATATTTGACTTCCATTGATTCGGGATTAGAGCAGCACGTTTAGATAATAAGCAGAAGGATCTCAGATAACAGCCTGAGTGAATCATCGGACTACAGTGTTTAGTCTGAGAAAGTGTGTTTATCTGAAGGGCTCTTGGGACTAATACGGTTCCTCTTCAAAGCTTGAAGCAGGGGGTAAGAATCATAGTCCTGCAGGTTGGCAGGATAAACATGTCCTGTGATTTGCTAGCAATCTGAGAGACGGATTCCAGTACTGAGCGCACTGTTGCTGTCAGGTTGAAAAGTGTCTGCCTGGAAATGAATTCACGCGCACACAGCTCCAGACAAAGGAAAATCTCCCTGAAATGGCATGCCATCACATTTTAAGGCCAATTTTTCAAGTCTCTGACTCACACCTGGGAAATATACTGGTGCACTGAGTTTATCATAAAAAGCCCACATTTTAGCAAACAAAAATTGGTGCAATAATCTCAAAATGTACTGTCTCACTGACAGGTACAGAAATATGTATTCCTGTGGATTTGCCTGCTTTGTGCCTGAAAACAATTTTGCTTTTTTTAATAGAGTCGCAGAGTCATCTCAGATTGGATTTCAGTAAAGGTAACTCTGCTGCTTTTTCAGTGTTCAGCGTGAGGTTTGAGCAGAGAGATTGGGTAATGTGTCATACAGAGGAAAGCTGCGGCAGGAATAAAAGCTCCTACGTCAATCAACAGTTTATAAATACAGCAGGAGAGAGAACTGCTGTGTGTGCTCCATGAGAAGCACACTTTTGGGCTCCAGAAGTAGCAACATATTTTTAAGTTAAAGGAAAGGGTGATAAAGTGCAAAGGAATGAATAGAGGGTTTCTACAACTCTGTGTGGAAGGAATCTGTGCATGGTTGGAGCAGCTGGGGTTTGTCAGTCTCTGAGAATAATTGTGAAGGGAACCGAACACAGAATAAAGAGCTTGAGGTCTGAACGTCCTTTCATTTGCACCCAAAGTTTCCTCAAAATCAAAGAGCTTATGCCAGTTTGTATCAAATATATGTAAAAACAGATTAGTTTTATGACTCTTTGGATAAGAAAAGGGGAATCCCAGAACTGCCTCCCCAAACACCACTTCCAAACTCAATGGACAGAAGCACAAGGTTGAATTTCAAGGGAGAGTTACTCAACAAATGTCTTGTGGATATGGGTGAACATGGAAGTCCAAACTATCTGGTTTCCACTGAGATCTTCCAATATACTTTACTGGTCATATTGTAGATCACCTTGAGAGTTTTGAGAGTTAAAAGCTAGCAAAATAAACTTCCTCAATTTTGTAAATGTGATCTCAATCTCACATTTACTCTCTGTTCAGTTTTATTTGCCTTTTTATTGTTGTTGTTTTAGTTGAAATGTAGATGCAAAAAGAAAACTTTCGGTTTAAGGAGATCACTTCCATCTAAAGAGCCAAAAGCATCACTGATAACTAACCAAAGGAATTACTGATAGCTTCTTCTACATTCACTGTGGCACTGAAAAGAAAAAACAACATCAATTTTTTGTTCATTTTGTCGCTGCACAAGAGGTTTTTTTGGTAGGAACTGCTCAAGAAAGGTCTGTTTATGGCAATACAGCTATGAGGAGCTACATCAGCAATACCTGCTCTTGAAACTCTCTGAGGAAAACATAACCTTATTCTGTCTGAAGTTGATTGTGGTGAGCAAAGACAGGTTCCCCAGCTAGCAGGTGTAGAGGGTGGTGAAAGCAGGTGTGGTGAGTTCAGTGAAGCTTAGCTACTTACACTGGCCCTCATATTCGTTAAGAAAAAGCCTTTTGTACCTTTTGGTGGAAAAACAGTATTGGAAGAGCACAAAAGGACAAACGAAGATGTGTAAAATATGGATCCAGGGTTTATGGAGCATCAGTTTGTTTCCTGGGAGGAGCAGTTGTTATATGTATTAGTGTCTCGCTATATGCACAAGAAGATAAAGATCAGCAACTAGATGAGCCATACAAATAGTTTATAAATGTTCCTGGTTTTCACTTTGTCTGAATATTTTTTAACTTCAGGAATTTGAGAACCATAAATGTATTCCTGAAGCACCATCTACATTTTTAGTGCCTCAAACTGTATCTACCAGTTAAAATATCAAAGATTTTTGTCTGGTGTCAGGTATGAAATCTCATGTGGATTTTTTACCTCTAGATTGTTAATAACAAATTATATGAATTATTATTAATTAATTTGGTCAACGTTGGAGCATTCAATTACTGTATAGGTACAGCAGGGAAAGGAGAAGATATTTGTTGAAACATATCCTCAAGCACAATAACAAAGTACATTAACTTCAGTTGGTTTTTCTATTGACTTCTTGTGTTTCCCAAATAGGGATGAATTACAATTTTAGCTCCTTGATCTTCTGAAGTGATTAAAGTCATTATTCAAAGTTGATGATGAAGTATTTATGACTGTGAGGGCACCCGGAGAAATGAGGTTTCCACTGCATGATTTAGAAGCTGTAACACCATCTCTAATTTAACACAAAACCCAGGTTAAAAAAAAAAAAACAACATCAGAGCACACACCATTGACAGCATAAGCGTGTGTTTTGGATTTTTACCCTCAGTCACCAAACTCAGAGCAGAATTTCAGTGTGAGCTTCAGTGAGAGCAACATTAAGTCCTCTGTGAAGAAAGAGGCTATTTCAGCTGTTGACTTCTATGGGAGTTGGATTAGGTCTTGATTTATTCTGGAGCTGTGTAGTAGAGAGGCAACAAATCCAAAGATATCTGCAAAGGCAAGCAGCTAAATCCAGGGCACTTAGAATGGACAGCTCCTGAAAAATAGTGGGGAAGGAAAGCGGGAAGAGCTTCCTAGCACAGCGACACTCGGAAATGTTTCAGCGATGACAGTCTGCACTGGAACAACAGGGAAATTTAAAACAGAGATTTTCTCATATCAATTCAGCTTGGTGGAATCAATCCAACTGAAGTAGAATAGCTATGCCCAGGCTGCACAGTGGCCTGGGAAGATGTATCTGCAGAGTGTGGTCCTCCTGCCACAAGCCTCTGCTTGCTATGAAGAGATGTGGCTGAGGGAACAGGAGGTTTAAATGCGATATTAAGAAAAAAATTTTTCACTGAAAGGGTTGTCAAGCATTGGCAGAGGCTTTCCAGGGCAGTGGTAGAGTCACCATCCCTAGAGGAATTTAAAAGACATGTAGATGTAGCACTTGGATAGGTGCTTTAGTGGTGGTCTTGGCACTGCTGGGGAATAGCTGGACTCAGTGATCTTAAAGATCTTTTCCAAATTTGAAAATTCTATGATTCTATGAAACATCAGCACTCAATTTCATTACTTCATCATTACAGGCCAAGGACCTCTAATATTATGGCTCCTTCTAGAAACAAAACTCTCCAACTTTAATATTGCTCTCAGCAGCTTTCGCTGATTGGATTATTCTGATTTCATTTCTTACCTTACAATTGTTTGTTCTGATAAAATTCCTAATCTTGGCAATCATATCCATACCCCATAAATTAAGAATGAGGCTTAGTTTTAGACTTTTTATATGATCAAAAATTAAAAAAAAAAAAAAAAAAAAAAAAAAAAAAAAAAAAAAAAAAAAAAAAAAAAAAAAAAAAAAAAAAAAAAAA